ACAAGGGATGATGAAATCAGAAACAAATTCCAAAGGTACATGCTTAAGAAAAAAATTCCAACCAAGGAAGTGGTTTCCATCTCAACTGATGGTGCACCAACCATGCTTGGTGCCAAATTCATACTTTATTGCATTTTACAGGAATGATCCTGATTTCCATTATTTTGGCAATTACTAGTGTATAACCCGCCAGCAAGCATTCACGTCCAAAGTTATTCACTTTTTCATATAATGGAAGTAATGGTTCAAATTGTAAACTTGATTCAAGCAAGAGCCCTTTAGCAATGTTTTTGTAAATACTTACTCAATGAACCTGATGCTGCTTAAGGTGAACCAATCCTCTACGTTGACGTGAGATCATTAAGTCAAAGGAAGGGCCTGCAAAGATTTTTAGCTCTAATTCCTGAAACTGTCAATTTTTCTTCAATCAAGGAATGAAATTTAGGAATACACTGTCAGGTAGTGTGGTTATTGGACTCTAGATGCCTGAATGAGCTGAACTGTGAACTACAGGGAAGGGACAGATACTGAGCACATATGATCAGTGCTGTGAATGCTTTCAAATTGAAACTGGGTTCGTGCTCATGTCCATTGTAAAATAAAACGCTGCAACACTTCCCAATCTGGAGAAGATACAAGAAAATAGCCAAGATAAAGAAAAATGGATCCTGCTAGAAAACACCTGTGCACAGCTGAGGAACTTGACAGGCAACTTCAGGAATTAGATGTGTTGGAACAAATCATCATGTTTTCCCAAATCCATCCCTTCAAGTAGGCATTGGTAGGTTGGCTACCAAGTTCCATCGGGAGTTGATACGAAGATAATTACTATACAAAATGATATTGAGCTGAAATTCAGGTCATGAGACATTGAAGTTTAGTGACTTGTAAACAGAGAAAAACATGCATTTCCATTATCCTGTGTTTTTAAAGTGAAAGCTTACTTTGACTACAACCCAGATTTCAAAGCATTGGCAGATAATATATAATCACAGGTATCACATTGAGACTTGCTGAGTTGCAGACAAAATGAACAGTAAAATATACCTGGTTTTAGATTTATATGGCACTATAAATTTTTTATTTCATTTTTTGAGGTAGATCCTGGTTTGCACTTAAATTCAAAAAGTGATCTCATGCTTAAAAAGTTTGGAGACCATTGTTTTATTGCATGCTGATTTCAGGTAATAACACCTTGAAACTGTGAAAGTAATTTATAGCTTCCTGCATCCAATTAGGCAAGGGGTCATACATACTTTTTAATTCTTACCGTAAAATTGTATAACATATCTTGTATGAACGATGTGGTTACCGAAGTTTCCAGTAATTATTATTTTGTCATCTGAAAGTCAAGGGAAACACCAATTATGGTTAAAAAATTTGAATACTGGTCATTGTGAACCTTTATTACAAAGACATAAAAATACTAGACCAATTTAAATACTTTTACAATTTGCCATTCAAGTGGGTCAAGATTATGGAGTTGCTGCTGTCTGTGTGTACATTCAGGAAAAGAAATACGTCTTTTTCAGTGTATATTCAAGTCAACATTTTGCCTTCAAATAGACCTGCAGTAACAATCATGTGATCAAAAGCTAGAATGCTGAATTAAATCTTTTCACTTACATCCAGATTTCACTGAATTACATTCATTTTGTTCCTTCATTAAAATTGTTCTATGTCATGACAGAACAAAAACACAAAACTTTTCAGCATCATTACTTAATTCTTCAAGATAAACAATTAAGATCTTGTGGTATAAGAAATTGTCAGGCTATCGGTGCAAATTATTATTGAAGTCTAAATTGCAGAGATTCAACATTACAATGCATGAAGGATGTGAATTTGCTGTGCTGACTGCTAGTCAGCCATTCAGATTAAAGACAATGCATTCAGATAGATGAACAAATTCTAATGCATGATGCATTTCAATTATTGCCAATCTCTCTGGCACTGAAAATTAAATTTTGGAATTGTGGAGTCTTAATTCTTCGCAGTTTATTTTGGAGATCATGTGGTGGAGGTATGAATGGACATTATCTGCAGGGTGGTCCAAGATTTTAGATTGTTGAAGGGAGGTGTGTTGCGTCAAATTACTTCTCTCATCTGATCACCAGAGTCCATCACTTGAAGGTATCACTTATGCTCCAAATGTCCCACTGGAATTGCAATAAAAGCATTTATCACATCAATCCAACTTTTCTTATACTACTTTTGCCTGCCAAAATCCCCTGCACATTCAAAATGAAATTTTAATTAATATGCAGATATATGCTTTCCTTCAAAAAAGTTTTAGCTCCAATACTCCTCTTCACAGTGGGTTCCGTCATCTGCCCCCAAGTTATGTTTCATTAAAACTGAAAGTGGCCAGGTTGAGTTAGGTTTGCAAATTAAAAAAGGTTGTAATCTCCAGTCTAATTGAGTCCATCTCCCAGAGTGTTAAAGTCCCAAACACAGAGAGGTGAGGTCTCTAATGCCTGCTTTAGGGCCTAACTGTGAAATCGAGCAGCAATGAGGTTGTTACAACTCAGATAACTAGCAGTGAAGAATACTGGTACTCTGTCTATACACAGTTATATAGCCTTTCATTTGCAGCGACACAGGTTTCAGATTGCACGTCACCCACACAGAAAGCATAGCTTCAGCCTCCTCCTGCATACTTTTTTGCACGTCAGATGAACAAAATTAACCTAACCCTTTAATTTCCCTTTAAAGGGTCAGTGTAACAAAAATCTAAATTTTGAAGAAGCTTAACTAATTAAATGAAAATGTTATTGCGAATGGAAATGATATGAATTCCCAATTAATGCCACTATTTCACAACTGCTCATCATCCAATTAATATACAGTTGATACAGGGTAATATTGGTCCTTTAGGAACCTGCTGTAAGCTTTCAACCAAATGTAAGTTTTCCTGAAGCATTTTCTTATACAAGAGCCAGGAGAAGTGGAAATGCTGGGCTGACTCCTCAGTTGTTGTCACTGAACCCTCCCCCTATCCATCAGAGAAAGAGCAAGGAGCAGTACAAGGAGGCAGGAACTGTTTATCCTTGCCACTCGTACCACCACAGTAGCAAGTAAGAGAAATTTTAACTCTTTCATTTTTAATTTTTAAGTATACTGCTCTTAAAAAAAAAACCTTGCTTAGAATTGAGTGTTAACCAGTTCAGGTCCAAAAGAGGAGTGAGGAGGAAATGCAGCAAAATAAAATAAAAAGACTTGTGTAAAAGAATAGACATTCATTGAGACAGATTTTTGTTGACTGTTAATAGCCAATAAAAAGAAACCTTGATCATTGCCTGGAGAATAAGGGTTTAGCCAGGAACACATTACAGTTGTCGAGTCTGGCAGCAAAGACATGCATGAGGGTTTTAGCAGTAGATACTCAAGTTAGAAGTCAATTGTCATCAGGGCATCATTATCATAATGGCTGCCCTGCAGCGGCGTCATATCCATTTTGCTTTATAAGCTTACATTTCCAACCTCCCCCCCCCCCCCCCCCAACCTCCTGAACTGCCCCCCTTCTTTAGTTAAAACTCCTTCTACAGTATAGTAAGTTTAGCAGAAAATATGGTTGAGGAACTATAGAAAACGTTTAAGAAAATTATTTATGCCTCACTCAGCAACAGTACATCTCATTGAGGAAGAAGGATTCTAGGAAGCGGATAAACCAACCACAGATAACCAAGGATGTTAAGGATAATATCAAATTGATGGAAAAACATCCAAAAGGGTTTTATTTTTTCCCCGGGGTGTCAAAGGCTGAGGGGTGACCATGCAGAGGTTTATAAAATCATGACAGGCGTTGGATAGGGTGATTAACCAAAGTCTTTTTCATCAGGTGGGGGAGTCCAAAATTAGAGGACATAGGTTTAAGGTGAAAGGGGAAAGATTAAAAAGGACCTGAGGTGCAACATTTTCACGCAGAGGGTGGTACGGGTATGGAAGAAGGAGGCAGAGGAAGTGGTGAAGATGGGTATGATAATGTCATTTAAAAGACATCTGGATGGGGTACATGAATAGGAAGGGTTTGGAGGCTTATGAGCCAAATGCTGGCAAATGGGACGAGATCATTTTAGGATATCTGGTTGGCATGGAAGTTTTGGACTGAAGGGTCTGTTTCCATGCTACATAACTCTATGACTCTATGACTTACACTTATTAAAGAGACTTTAAATAATTGTTTACTCAGGAGAAAATGCTTTGATGCATTGAATGTTTATTCCATGACTAAAATAAACTCCAGATACACCCCTGTTGTGCAATGGTTATGATTGAATATGAGGCCTCCTCCATTTATGAATTGAATGTTTGACAGCTCTCTTTTCATACCTGGTATGTTCCTGTGGGATGTTATTTTGTTGCAAACTTTTTAAAACAAAGGAGGCCCTTTCATTTTTCTGCGGTGTGGTACAATTAAGACCATGCTTCCGGATATTGAGAACATGGGATTACATTTGATTTTTCATATTGCAAGCATGATTTTTGATTCCAGAAGTGATGCCACAGAAATCTTGGTAGCAGTTATAGGTGCAAGTTGTCATGTTTCTTCTTGGTTTTCCGAGGAGGCCGAGATGTTTTATTTTCTTTTATTGGAAACAGACTTGCATCATTTTTATCAGGTTCATCTTTCCTAAACTTCTCCCAAAGACTTCACCTGACTCTGTCTGAGATACAGTTCCTCATTTGAGATCACCCTCTACTACCACGTCCACGGAGTCTGATTTTTGTCTTCTCATAGAGGCAGTAATCAGCTCACAAAACATATAAAAAGGTTTCTTTCTGTAGGAAGCACAACTTCCTTGTTTCTTCTGCCCCACTCTACTTTCACATCGTTCTTTGCACGTTGGTAAAGCATTGGGTGCAAAAAGTATGCACAACTCTTCAAAAGTCAGTATATCCATTGTGAGGGACAAAGGAAGATTGTATTTTCCCCTGTATGCTATTTTAATGTGCTTTTGTGGCTTCTGGAAGCTCAAGAAACGTACATTTCTTTGTAGAGTTTGTGATCACTGGGGGAAGCCTTCTGAGGAGTCGGGAACATTCTGATGCGTAAGTGTAAAATGCTTTGACACTTTAAAATGTCACCAGTAGATGTTATATTATAATGTCGATCTATTTTTAATGCAGTGATTCATTGTTCTGCCCTGCAAAGGCAAGATGACCCTTATGTTCACCATCATTGTGTGTTACAGTTGGAGAAAGTGCTGGAATGCTTTCAAGAATGTCAAAAAAAACTGTTGATAAAGTCTTTTGTCATGTTTGGTTCTGTGATATATTCATATAAACAGTTCTGACTTTGTAAAAATATCCAATACTGTTGAATAATAAAGCACCTACTCCCCTCCATTGATTAACAGACAGTCTTCTTTGAATTGAAAATATAATATTTGTTCTCTCAATTTCGAGGTTTTGTGACTATAATGGTTTGTTTTAATAGCTGTCACTTTCATGAACGATTGGCTGACATTCAAATCCTGTGAATGATCCGAGTTCAGCAGGTATTCGGTTAGTACTATTGCTCATGAGAATGATTGACAGTTTAAAGCGGGTACACTTACATAATTTAACTTTGATATAGTTTCTACTTACATGGTTGTTTGTTTACACATCTTAATGGTTGCTTAAACATTTCCATTGAGGACTTTTTTCAAATTCAAGTACCAATTGTAGATTTCTGAATGAGAGTTTTATTCAATTGACACAGATTTAATTTATTTACACCTGCATTAAAAATAATTCCCATTGTTACTAACTGATTCCTGAATCACTACAGTGTGAACAGCTTGGAGGATAAATGGCATGGCATGGGGTTTGGCGGGGCATGGGGTGGCATAAGGAATCTGAGGGGAAGTGAAGTCTGAAGTGTCTGTGGGAAGTGAGAGGACACAGGCAATTAGAGAGAGCATGAATGGAGCATGGAGATATGAGGGCTATGGGGTCGTAAGAAGTTTCATCAATGAGGGGTAAAATTCAGAGGGCCTTTAAACAGTGTTGAGAAGTAGGTAGCTTTCTCTGAGAACTGAGGCATGCTTTCTAACCAGCCCATTTCCAAAGCCACATTGTTCTCTCACTTCACAACAGTTTGCAAACTGCATTGCAAACCTGAACCAAGTGAAAACACAAAAGTCCTGGGCAATGATATTCTTGAATTGATTTATTTTTGGAAGATATGAAACACTCCAACTCATGTTTCACACACCTGACATGGAAATTCACCCATGGTCATTATTATTGCTTGGGCATTAACAGTGAAATTCACCTGGCTGTTTGATTGCAGAAGGCATCAGCTTTGCCATTATCTTGTCATTGATATGTGTATTTCCTGCAGGCTGACTGAATAGCAGCCATGAATTAGAAAGCTTCCTGACTTCCCTTCCCATACTCAAATACGTGAAAGTCAGTTGTAATCACCCTGTTTAAGATTAAGTAATTCAATACAGATTGCAGATTAAATCTGGGGCCAATCTTTGGCAATCTCAGCTGCTCTTTGAATAAAATCATCGAAAAATAAAGACTTGTCTTTTTCAACTATCAGTATCTCATGTTGCAATACTTCTGTTCATGGCCCAGTCTTCAATATGAAATGACATCTGTATCTTTTAGTGTTATTAACACAGATGCTGTACAAAGTGTTCTTTCATGAAATCTTTCATTAAATCCAAGCAGTTTTACAGCATGCTTTCATTTTTTTTGTAAAATGTTACTTTTTTTTATTTTTTCTTTTGAGTTTGAGTGAATGGTGTAGATGATTTAGTTTGTAAATATAGGGGTTGACATGGTTTCTTGTGTCAAACACCAACAGATTGTATTATGATGTGGGGTCTCTGGGTACTTCCTGTATGTTGGATCATATAACATAAACCACAAAGTCAGGGTTCTGTTGAGATGGGTGTCTTGAAGTTAATAAGCGACACTGTTCACACACAGTCTGAGTTCCATGCTTACTGATGTTGCTGTATATTGCATACACATAGTTGACTATTCAAATACACTATCCTGACTCAATTGCACTGACAACATGACTGAAGGTGAGGTAGGTACCTTTTACCAAATGTATGGTGTGATGTAATGTAACTCTCTTAAAAATACAGTACCTGTCTAGTCTGAAATCAGTAATACACATGGGTGATTGTGCAGTAGCAGGGTCTTATTATACCCCCACCTGTAGAAAAGTCAGTCTTGAGTCAGCTGTCTTTAAAAATAATGGTGGATGGTCAAATTTGGGAGGCTAGCATAGCACTGGTGTAGCAGGTGGAAGGATTGGAAGATATGGGCACAGACCCCATCACTTGCTGAGGAAGTGCTGCTCTTCCTATTAGCCTGAGCCAGAACAGGTGGGCTGACCACCTTCATCCTCCCTTCCCCAGTTGCATGTATTAATGCAGTGGAGGTGGAAGAAAGCCCTTAGCTGGTCAATAATTCCTGACGTCTTACCTTGCCCCTCTCCCCCAACCCCCACCGCAATATCAGGGACAGCTAAAGGTGGTTAGGAAGGCAGTTGACTGACTACCCATTTTAGTTGATGTATCCTGTCTAGGACAATCCTTGTTTGACTTGATAAGAGACATATTTCAGGCAGGAGGGACTCTCCTTCTCCATCCACAATAACTTATTCCCTTTCTGAAGGCACAATAAAGACAGTCAAAACTTGAAACGGGATTTTTCGTCCTCACTGGTGTGGGGTGGATGGATGGGCAATGATGTTCAAGTGTGTAAACTCCCAATGTTGTCACAGCATTATCAGTCCCCTTCTCCAACCCAGACAGCTCCCCGTGGAGGCAATGTGGCAGTTGTGGCCGGGATAAGTACTGCTGTGTAACAAATTCACTTAATTAAGAGTCTATTGATGCCTACTATCGGGAGCCAACTAGAATTTTCCAAAGGGCCTCTATATCCCAGAGGTACCCTCCTGGTGATCACGAGGCAGTAGGAACGCTGCAGACAGTCTTGGAGGCTCACTGCAGTAACAGGCTGTCCTCCCTTGCCCGCACCATACCTTCCCTACAATGGACAGTGGTGGCCAAGATGCTTCAGGTATTTCATATTCTAAATATAAAAAGTATGGAGAGAGGCCACCATCCTGGATTGCCCTATTCTCACTTAGCTGCAAAGGTGCCCATTCAGCTTGTTCCATAAAGGAGGATGAGCCTGACCTCTGATCAGTTCATAGAGAAATGCACCCAAGTGACTATCCCACACCATTCAGACTTCTGATCCATATTTGAGTCTGATGGCAGGGTCCTAAAGCTAATAGGGAAGATTCTGGTCCTGGCCCCAATTGAACGCTTGAGTACACCACCAAGCTTTCCTGTTTGCTGTGTTATTTGCTGTTTTGACAGAAAGAGTTTTATTTTGGGAGGATAGTGGGCCACAACTGATCATTTGCAGTAGCTACTCTGTGAGATCAAGATGAAAAAAATGGCAGTAGACCGATTAAAGCATAAGCTGGATAGAAGAGGAAAACTATGTCCACTTAGAAATTTTTTGTAAAGTAGACCATAAACAAAAGTGATTGTAATCAGCCTAAATCAGTAAAGGTCTGGATTATCAAAGTTCTTATTCACAAAATTTAAATCACTTATCAAGAATTTACATAAATGAAGCCTATTGTCCTAAATAAATCTAAAACCAGTCTTGTACCTAAAGGAAAAAGAAAAAAAAAAAGCTGAAGATTTTAAGTGCTAATGAAAGTCATTGCATACTAAATTGATTAGTTCCTTTGTGCATTTTTGTGCCTGTCAAGTCATAAGCTACCTCTGGACATCACTTTGCTGCTTCATAATAGACAACTGACATTCTGTGGTAAATGGAAAAAGAACAGAGCAGAACAGCAAATATTCTAATGCGTTGACACTTACTTGCCCTCTATTGTTCAAAATGAGGAGCAATCATCATTGTTCATCAAATGGCTCCTAATGCAGTTAAAGCATTCAGCTATAATTTCTTATTGCATTTATAATTACTGTCATAGACTATACACCTCAGTGAGCATATTAAAGCCATAAATTATGTAGGCCTTGCCATAGCTGAAGAAGTTGATTTTTCTGGCAGCAGTTATTTGTTAGGGAGCTAGGCTTTTCAGATAAAAAGATGACTGAAGTGCTTGAACAATGCAAGGAATACTTTGTTCAGTCAGTCGTCTAGAGTTGACTCAGGTAATTGCAAAACAACCGAGTTCCAGTGTTTTAATAATCCATTCCATTAACGGGGCTACATTGTACTGGTTGAGTGGCAGTTTAGTCAGAAATTGTTTTTTTTTGTGATTGTTTCTGTATAGAGTAAATTGATATAAAAATGTTCTGCAGTAAAATATACAAAATTGTTTCTTTCAGTGTGTTGATGAAGGGTGTTTTTCTACTTTCAAATCTTTACTGGTAAAAACCTTTCAATCTTCAAAATTTATATGCCTTTTGTTTTGCTTATTTTCCTTTTGTCATTTTGTAGATGCCCAGCTTCCTTCTATCATCTCAGATTGACATTTGGTTATCTGCCAAGCAAGAAGCCCACATAATCATAGCAACACAAGCAAAAATGCTGTACCACAGATGTTGGCAGAAGAAAGCCGAGTGGCTTTGTATATGATACAGTCACAAAAGACTTGAAGGTTAAAATGTGACTTTTTTTTTGAAAAGAAGTGTATTGGAACTAAATAAACCTTCAAAGAGACAGAGCTTTTTGCTCACCTTATTCCTTTGCCTAATAACAGTTATATGATTATTGGAGTCAAAAGCCATTAAGGTCAGAATCAATTCATTCAAATCAAATGTTGTGCTTCTCAGTGATGAAGCTCCATTAAGCATTAATGTAGGGTACTTGCAAAAGTTGATCCTAACAGGAGAGTGACATTTGTAAACATTTGAGTGGCACCAAAAGAACACAGCAGAGTATATAGTCATTGAGATATTTGAGATTGTGTTACATCGGAAAAACAAAAAGAAAAACATTTTATCTGACAGCAAAAGAGAAATCTCCTTGGTGTAATAATTTTATTTGGGATTTTCTGGGCACACAATCAACAATATAATAAATTAGAAAAGGATAATTTTAAAGGGCTAGAAATGTCAAATGTTCTGAAGAGATAGCAAGAACTGCAGATGCTGGAGTCAAAGATAACAGTGTGGAGCTGGAGGAACACAGCAGGCCAGGCAGCATCAGAGGAGCAAGATAGTTGACGTTTCCAAAACGTCAACTTTCCTGCTCCTCTGATGCTGCCTGTCCTGTGTTCCTCCAGCTCCACACTGTATCATCTCAAATATTTTGAATGTATTCTTCACAAATTGGGCAGGCCCTGCATCAGGTCATTTCAGCTGTAATATTAGATAGCAAGTATTATGAAGAAGGTTTGATTATAACTGAGGGTGGGAGGAGAGGACAAGACCAGCGGAGGAATCCAACTCCTATGAACCCACCAAAAATCTGCAAAAAGGACCAATTTGAATGGTTAATGGCCATCTCAACTTTCTCCACTGACTACTGCCTGATCCTGCTGATCGATTTCGTTCCCTGCCTGTCTCCAGAATGTTAATGTTGTTGCACCAATAACACATTCAGCTTGGACGTTTGCAATGTTATCTCTCGCCTGCTCATGGAAAGCAGTCACCCCAACCTCTGCTGAGGTAAGCTAATGTAGGAGAGCTGTTGCAGTAACATGATGTGACGCCACCTGCCATTTTAACCCTCCACCCATACTATTCTGGCCAAATGTTGATATGGATTTGGGTCACAAGGGACATGCTACAGAAGCCTCAAGGAAATGGAAAAAGTGGAGGATGTCCACTGATTTAGGGATCAAACAATGTAAAGAGAATGTAGAAATAACATACCACATTGGGCAATCAACTAAGATCATATTGAATTGTGCAGCTGGCTCGAAGGGCCGAATGGCTTACTCTTGCTTCTATTTCCTTTTCTTCCTATTTTCTCTGTTTCTGTGTCAGGTTATTGTGAGTAATGTGGAATACCATGAAGATTTAGCATAAGAAGATACAGTTTTATGAAAAGTAGTCCTGATCTATCCAGAGTCCATGGGCAGAATTTTACTGCTTTTTTATCCCACCCCCAAGTCACCAGCTGGGAGGTGAAGGCACCACTGCAAAACTAGAGACCTCTCCACCCAAGGAAGCAAGTTCCCAAATTTCAAATTCAGAGGCTCCACTCCAGGAATATTCCATGGAGCCACGGACTCTTCAGTGCAATGGAGGTGATCTTCTTTTGGTACCTGCAGAAGCTATTGGTGCCAGCCACCAGTTCCAGTGGCCCCAGCAGTCTCCTCCAGACCTTTCCCCCTACAACCTAATTTTCTGATTTGAACTGAACCTGACTTTCCTCAGTAATGCTCATCTCATCCCCTAGTGCCATTGAGGTATCAGGGCACCCGGCCTTCTGATTGCACTGACAGTAAAAGAAAGATAGGCTGAAAGGCAGCCTATGAGGATGATGCCTGAGGTGAAATTATTGCAAGTGTGGGCTGGAGACCTGCCTTTTGCCCTGATTGTAGGGATGCAAAGATTGTGATAATTGTAATGGCTCTTATTCCATACATTTAAGAATTGCCCTTTTTTTTTTCCTTTACCTTCTATGAAAAATCAAACAGTACTGTTAAATATCTCTGCCTGTTTTGACCTATTCCTCGACAACTACGGGGTCATGAATGACTGTAGCAGCTGTATATGAGATTTGGAGAGAGCAAGTTTTATCCAGACACTTGAAATGGGCGTGAAATATCAACCTGAAAATATTGGCAAGTTAGCTTTACATCTTTAATGGGGGATGCTTATCAGGTTAGTGCATCTAAGGATTGTAAAGTCATAAGAATTAAGTAAGAATGGATTCAAAATAATCGACTTTTTGACAAATCTGCTTGAATTCTTTAGGATATAACTCAGTGAGTGGATGAAGCATAATTGGTGGATACAATTTACTCGAATTTTCAAAAGCCATTTGAAAAAATCTGCATAGGCTTCAACGATCTTGTGAAGTTAATGAGAAATTAGTCAGCTGGATTGAAAATTGATGGCAGTTGGAAGGAAAATGCAATGAGAGTCTCCTGTTCTCGTTCAAAATTGTTTAGTTCAAATTATCTGATCATTAGCACTTCATTCCAATTTACTGTTCAATTCTTTCTGGAGTGCAAAATAATCCACCGGCACGGTGGCTCAATGGTTAGCACCACTGCCTCACAGCGCAAGGGACCCAACTTCAATTCCACCCTCGGGCGAATGTCTGTGTGAAGTTAGCACATTCTCCCCGTGGGTTTCCTCCAGGTGCTCTGGTTTCCTCCCACAGTCCAAAAATGGTGGATTGCCCATTCTAAGTTGTCCATAGTGTCCAGGGATGTGCAGGTTAGGTGGATTAGCCATGGGAAATGCAGGGTTGCAGGGATAGGGTGGGACTGGATGGGATGCTCTTTGTAGAGTTGTGTTACTCGATGGGCTGAATGGCCTGCATCCATACTGTAGGGATTCTCTGAATTCTTGGGCTGAGTTTGGGGTCACTGTGGTTTTTGCTGGTGGTGTCAGTCACCAGTTAATGATGGAGGAGTCTCTTGCAGCTGGAGGCCCAATTGAAGGCTTTGACATTGGTGAGAACAGCAAGCTGCAATGGAACACAAATCGAAATTGCTGGCGAAACTCAGCAGGTCTGTCAGCATGCGTGGAGAGCAAACAGAGTTAATGTTTTGAGTCCAGTGAGCCTTTTTCAGAAATCATAGATGCAGCCAGACCTGCTGAGTTTCTCCAGGAATTTCTGTTTATGCTTCAGACCTTCAGCAGCTGCAGTTGGTTGTTTTATTTAAGCTGTCGTGGAAGCTTGGTAAGAGAGAGGATGTTTGAACATGGTGCCGCACTTTCTCCCAGTTATTTTCTATGCTTCTTCAAATCACATAGAATCCCTACAGTGCAGATAGAGGCCATTCAACCCATCACATCTGCACCAACGCTCTGAAAAGCATGCTACCCAAACTCACCCTATCTCTGTCATCCCACATTTACCATGGCTAACCCACCGAGCCTGCACATTTTTGGACTATGGGAGGAAAGCGGAGCACCCATGCAGATACAGGGAGAATGTGCAAACTGTCACCGGAGGCTGGAATCGAACCCGGATCCCTGGTGCTGTGAGGCAGCAGTGCTAACCACCGTGCTACCCCTATTTCATTGAAAAATAGATTTTGCAGCTAAACCACCTCTCTATAGAACAGCCTGTGACTGTTCCTGCACCCAGGAAGGCAGGGAGGGTGTTGAGGCTTTCCTGAAGCAGTGATCCCCCACTGCCATCCCTTTACATTGTCAATTTCAGCTCCTGCTTGCTCTTGAATCATCAGGGTTAGATCAGGCATTGGAAAGGTGGTGCACTGGCACCCGACACTATTTACGTACCCCACAATTATGGTAACACTCTCAGCAAAGACATACAAAACCCTGCAATTGAAAATACAAAAAAAGAGTGCATGTTCTGCGTGTCCTTAAAAGGCAAAGTATTTAATTGGTATTATTGCAACTTCATTTTTTCAATGGGGAATCATCTGCTGGGAGCATATGTCAGAAAATTAGGCGTACATCCAACATTGTTATCTGACAAGTGCGACAAAATAAATGAAGATCACATGTAGCCCACAGAAAAATTTTTGGTATGCATCTTTGTCCAAGTTTCCCAGCAGGAGCAAAAGTTCAGAAAATTGCCTCTTTAGTGTTCCCACTTCACTGTTCTGCAAAAGGGCAGTGCTTAATCCAATGTTATCAAAGGTGGGCATTTGCAAACGTGACTGGAATAGCACTGAGTTTTGAACTTACTTTAAATTCCATTCATAAAAGCCAACGACCCAACCAAATTGTTTCAGGATTTCATAGCTTCAATAAACATTTCAATTTCAAGATTAACCCAGAAACACTCTACTTCACATTATGTTGGCAAAATGAGTATAACCCAAGACTGATTTATTTGTGAGTTAATGTATTTCACAATATGTAACCATATGGTTATACCACGATTATGATGTCAATTAGCATAAATGTAGCTAACAAGCTTATTTGTTTTTCAGTCTCCTGTAGTCATTGCCTTCTAATCAAATCAGCTGCAGTATCAAGCACCCTCCCATGTTCACTCCATGCTCAAGTTGATATTGCTGTGCGACTGTGTTTCAGCATTCTTATAAAACATTTTTTTGCAGTCCTATAGTTATTTGTGTTTATGATCATTCTTTACATCTACTAGGAAATGCTGATTTTAAGAAATCTAAGTTCATTTTCCTACGGATGTTGTCGGGATTTTATGTTAGAAATTCGAGTATTAATGGGGCTCCAAAACTTTTAAACAAGGGTTTGAAAATTTTTAAAAATCCACAACTGAATGCTAATCAAATTATGTTCCAAGTCTCTGACGATTTTCTATATACCACCAGATCACCAAACAGTTGGTGTGATCTACCATGTGGAGCACTGTTTAAATTGTTATGGAACACATCCTGTTTTCAATATCTACATTCATACTGTGAAAGCAATAGGTGCCAGATCCAAGAGGCTCAAGGCTGGCTTAGTTTTGGTCCTTGGTTCTCATTAGCAGCTGCAGTTTCTGCCCATACAGAATTGACCTACACACTGGAATTTTCAAGCCATTTAGTCATCAGCAGTAGCTTTAAGCTGAATCCCGGAAGGAAGATTGGAATTCCA